CAGATTTATTTATTTCTATAAAAAGACCATGAGGGTTTATACTACTTATTAATTCTATTCTTTTTCCTTTGCCATTCTATTAAATAAATAAATAAATAAATAAATAAATAAATAAATAAATAAATAAATAAATAAATAAATAAATAAAATAAATAACCTCGTATATAAAGTCTGCTTCCTCTGCATTAAATCCTGTATGTTGCATAATTTTTCTTTGCCTAAACCCTAAACCCTAAACCCTAAACCCTAAACCCTCGATAGAAAAAAAACAAGACGTACATTCGTTGTTGCTCAATAGGGTCTGCAGGTCTAGGGTTTAGGGAATACAAACCCTCATTAGGGTTTTCTATTAGTGTCCCTTTATTATCATCAATTCTTATTTTTGTTTCTTTTGTTCTTTCTCTCTATAGGGTTTATCTTTCTTATTAAGGGTTTATTTACTTTTCTTTAATTTTAGGGTTTAGGGTTTAGGGTTTAGGGTTTAGGGTTTAAGGGCTTACAGAGTAAGAAATATGAACAGGGAAATCCTTTGCGTCATTAATAACTCTGCAATCTTTATATATTATTTATATGTATAATATGCATGCATATTACTTTTATTATTATATTTAGGGTTTAGGGTTTAGGGTTTAGGGTTTAGTAAACACTAAACCCTAAATAAAAAAAAGCCCACGTCGTCTGGGGGTTTGTGCCGATGTTTGCCACGGATCCTCCTCCTCTCCTGCATGCAAAGATAATATATTACTTGCCATCTTTTAGGGTTTAGGGTTTAGGGTTTAGGGTTTAGGTAAACCCTTACTTAATATATATTATTTGCCCATAAGGGTTTGTGCTCTTGGGTATGTCTGTACGACTGATGCTATCAACAACAACAAGATCTGCCTTATTTAAATCTAAATAAATAAATAAAAATAAATAAATATATAAAATAAATAAATAAATAAATAAAATAAATAAATTAACTTTTTTTTTTCTTTTTTTCCTCCGCTTACCGAAACCATAATTCGCGCCCGCCTTCCCATCAAAAAGTTTCTTCTTGCAATTAATAAAAGAAATATTTATAAATAAAATAAATAAAAATAAATAAAAAGAAAAAGAAAAATAAAACATTTTATAAATAAATATATAAATTAATCATTTTATTTATGCTTTCCTTTTTATTTCCTTTTTTTTTCCTGCATCATCATGAGCTGCCTATACACCCGAAAATATTCAACTTTTTTCTTCTTTTTCTTCTTTTATTTTTTATGAATATTTATTTTATTCCTTTTCTTTTTTATTTAATGTATTTTTTATAGATGCCTCTTTATACTTTATTTCTTTTCTTCCTTTTTTGCCTATTCATAGATAGTAATCTATTCATATTCTTTTCTTAATATGCCTTTTTTCTTCTTTTTACCTATTCAGCAAAGGAAGGAAAAATAAATAAAAATAATTTTTTTTTTTATTTAAGGGAAATGTTTTTCCTATATAAAATAAATAAATAATGTACTACTATCCCCTATTAATGCTTCTTTTTCCTTTCTTTTATTTAATTAATTTGTTGTTACTTATTTAATTGAATAAAAAGAAGCTATACTAAGAAATGTATATTTGTTTCCTTTGTTATAAGCCAATAAAAGGGTTATTAGCAATAAAGAGGCAAAAAAAAAAGGAAAAAAGTAATTAAATAACATTAATAAATAAAATTATATTTTATTTAATAATAATAATTATATATATTTGTGTTATTTGTCTACTAAGATAAAAGAAAGGGTCATTAGTCATAAATATACACACAATAAACCCTAAACCCTAAACCCTAAACCCTAGAGGCTGCTGATCCTTCTAAGCAGTTGGGAGCAATCAGCAACAACAGGAAATAAAAAATAAATAAAAATAAATAAAAAGGGTAAAAAGAAAGAAAAATATAATGTATTAAGGCCCCACAAAAGTATACACAATAAAAAAAAAAAAAAAGTTATTAGGGTTTAGGGTTTCTTTTATGTTAGATGCAGGTATGGCAGTATGTATGCTATTAGAGGAAAAATATATTATTAATTATAAATATAAATATAAATATAATTATAATTATAAAGGGTTTAGGGTTTTATATAATAAATTATAAATTTTTTAAACTAGGGTTTAGGGTTTAGGGTTTAGGGTTTAGGGTTTAGACGAAGGTCACCGGTAGCAGGCCCGGACACGCCGGTGGTCGGCTTCGGCTTCCGTGCTAAAGAGGAGGCGGCATATAACCCTAAACCCTAATTATTAAACCCTAAACCCTAATTATTAAACCCTAAACCCTAAACCCTAAACCCTAAACCCTAACTCCAGGATGCTAGGGTTTATAATAGGAGCTATACGGAGGTGAATGATTACCTTTGTCTATTTATTTTGTTTTTCTTTTTTCTTCTTCTTTCCTTCTGTCAGTTTTATTTCTTGTCATTACCTTGACTACTCAAACCCTAAACCCTAAACCCTAAACCCTAAACCCTAAACCCTGCGGTGTGTGGCTACACACCGCGGGTTTCTTCTTGCAATGCTTAACACTATCGAGGAGCTGCAAGGGTGTGATGAGGAGGAAGAAGCTACTGCTGCTGTAGATACCTCAACAGCAGCAGCAGATGCAGCAGCAGCACCTGCTGCTGCAGCTGCAGCAGCAGTAGCAGCAGCAGTAGCAGCAGCAGCAGCAGCAGATGCAGCAGCAGATGCAGCAGCAGATGCAGCAGCAGATGAAGCAGATTCAGAAGAAGATACTGTTAAGCTCGAACCTCTTGCTGCAGCAGGAAGCACCCTATCGCAGCAACTGCAGCAACTGCAGCAGCGGCTAGCTGCTATGCGTTGGTCTTCTTCCTCTAATACAGAAGAGGAAGAGGATTTGCTGCTGCTGCAGCAGCAACAGCAGGTCGAGCTGCTGCAGCCGCTGCACAAGAGACACCACCACCGCCATAAGGAATTCATGAGCTGCTGGGTCAGCAGCAGCAGCAGCAGCAGCAGCAGCAGCGAAGAGTCTGAAGAATCAGATAAGGAGGAGGAGACGATCCAAGAGGTAGAGAAGGAAGATCAACGTCCTGCTGCTGCTGCTGCAGCAGCAGCAGCAGCAGCAGAAGCAGAAGCAGAAGCAGCAGCAGCAGCTGCTGCTGCTAAGGAGGAAACAGGGATATCTCAAAGCCCATCCACAGTAAGCAGCAGCGACCGCGAGAATCCGCAGCCGCAGCAGCAGCAGCAGCAGCAGCAGCACCGGCAGCAGCAGCAGCAGCAGCAGCTGTGTTTGCAGCAGCAGCATCTGCAGCAAGTCTCTGAAACCTTTTGTGTAGGTGAGAAGAGTATCCTATTGGAACCCAAACCAACTGCTGCAGCAGCAGCAGTTGCAGCAGCAGCAGCAGCAGCAGCGGCAGCAGCAGCAGGAGAGTACCGTACAGGTACCGTAATAGATGCAGGGTTTAGGGGTCTTCCTTATCCTCCCTTACGTCTTTGTTTATTATTATGCATGCGTGTCTGCTGCTGGATAAGAGGAGATAAGCAGCACGTGCTGCTGCTGCAGTGCTATAAAGGATTAGGTAGGAGTATATGCCTAGCAGCAGCATTCTTATCATGGTGCGGTGTCTGCTGCACTGCAGCAGCAGCAGCAGCAAGAATTGCTGCTGCTGTTGGTATACATACACAGATGTTATTACCTAGCCAACAAAGATTCCTTTCTTTCTTTGATTACCTCATGGGTATTTCTCCTCCTCTCTCTCCTTCCTCCATGCTGCAGCAGCTGCTGCTGCAATAGCAGCAGCACCAGCAGCAGCAGCAGCAGCAGCAGCAGCAGGAGAATATATGGTCGTAAGATTCCCTTAGGTCGTGTATCCTTTAATACAGGAGGTGTAGATACACCTGGATATATTTCTTTTACTAAGGAAGAAATAGATCAAGGACCTATACTAGCAGCAGCAGCAGCAGCAGCAGCAGCAGGAAATATTCCTCCTTATGATTGCTTCCTTGCTGCTTTCTTTGATCCTATTGATGATACAGCAGATACAGATGCAGCAACAGCAGCAACAGCAACAGCAGCAACAGCAGCTAGTGTTGATGGTGCTGCAGGGGAGGACATACCTGCAGCAGCAGCAGCAACAGGTTCTGATGCAGCAGCAGCAGCAGCAGCAGCTGAGCTGCAGCAGCTCGTTGTGAGGGTTAGACAGGAGGGCATTCTTTACCGCAAACTACAGAAGGAAGAGGAGATGCAGCAGCAGCAGCTGCTGCAGCAACAACAGCAGCAACAACAGCAACAACAGCAACAGCAACAACAGAAGCAACAACGGCAATTAAAGCTGAAGCAGCAACAGCAGCAGCAGCAGCAGCAACAACAACAACAACAAGCTGCTCGCGAGGCAGCAAGGAAGGGAGAGACACAACGCCAGCAGCAACAGCAGCAGCAGCAGCTAGGCAGTAAGCCATCCCCACAGACCCCACAGAAGCAGCAGCAGCAGCAGCAACAGCAGCAAGTGCAGCAGCAGCAAGTGCAGCAGCAGCAGCAGCAGCCAGTTGGGATCAGTCAGCTGATGCCCTTAGATTGTATGGAAGTTGAGGATTGGGACGCAGGGGAGACATCGTCAGCAGCAGAAGCAGCAGCAGCAGCAGCAGCAAACGTAGCAGCAGCTGCTGCTGCACCCGCAGCAGCGGTTGCTGCTGCGGTGTCCCATTCAGGATTACCAATGGGTGCAGCAGCTGGTGTAGGACTGTTGCGCCAATGGCAAAAACAGCAGCAGCAGCAGCAGCAACAGCAGCAGAGACAGCAGCAGCAGCAACAGCAGCAGCAGCAGGAAGAGGGGCAGCAAGGGAGCGAGAGCGACATAAGTTGGGGTCTTAGCGAAGAAGAGTCTGACATCCATCTCATAGGCAGCAGCAGCAGCAACAGCAGCAGCAGCAGCAGCAGCAGCAGCACTGCCAAACGCGCTTCTCCTAGCTTAATCAGATTAGAACAGGCAGCAGAGACAGCGTTAGCAGCAGCAGCAGCAGCAGCATCAGCAGCAGCAACAGCATCAGCAGCAGCAGAGCTGCTGCTGGATGTCTCAAGTGGCAGCGACGAGGAGCAGCAAGGACTCCCTGTCCTTGGCTTCCGCACCCGCAGCAGCAGCAGCAGCAGCAATAGCAGCAGCAGCAGCAGCAACAGGCGTGGCCTTCGTGACGCGGGCCTTGGCATGGATTCTCCCTCACCTATAAGAATTGCACGAGCAGCTGCAACAGCAGCAGCAGCAGGACCTGATTCTGCTGCTGCAGCAGCAGCAGCAACTGCAGCAGCAGCAGCAGAAGGTAGTATATCAAGAGAGAGCAGCAACGGTAATTGGGTGTCTCTCCCCTCAAGGGGATCGTCTCCTGTGCTGCTTGCTTCCCCTCGTCTCTGCTCCCTAGATGCAGCAAGCAGCAGCAGCAGCAGCAGCAGCAACAGCAACAAGAGCAGCAGCAAGAGCAGCAGGAGAGGGAGTAATTGGGGCAGCAGCAGCAGCAGCAGATGCAACTCTCCTACTGCAGCAGCAAACAACAGCCTCTTTGTTGTCCTTCATCCAACACCCCGCAAACACCTGCAGCAGCAACAGCAGCAGCAGCAGGAGCAGCAGCAGCAACAACAGCAACAGCAGCAGGAGCAGAAACAGGAGACGAAAGCCCCGCAGTTGAGGGAATTCGCTGCATAACAGCAGCAGCAGCAGCAGCAGCAGCAGCAGCAGCAGCAGATTGTGTCATTGCATGCATGCGTTTTTCTTGTCTTTGTCCCTTTAGACTTTTTATGTGTTTTATTATAATAACAAGAATTTCCTGCTACTGCTGCAGCAGCAACAGCAGCAGCAACAGCAGCAGCAGCAACAGCAGCAGCAGCAACAGCAGCAGCAGGAGCAGCCAGTATACGAGTCTTTTAGGGTGTATGTTGCCACACGTTTTTGTTGCTGCGCTCCCCCTGTATAATAGCAGCAGCAGCAACAGCAGCAGTAGCATCAGCATTTGCTGCTGCTGCTGCTGCATTTGCTGCTGCATTTGCTGCAGCTGCTGCTGCAGCTGCTGCCGCTGGGGTGGGGCCCCTTGTGCTGCTGGGGGCCCCCTCTAAGACTCCCAATGGCCCCTTTTATGTTCAGTATATTATGCCTAACTATGTAGCTAGTTAGCTAGCTAGCTAGCTAGTTAGCTAGCTAACTGGCTAGCTAGCTAGACAGCTAGCTAGCTAACTGGCTAGATAGCTAGATAGCTAGCTAGCTAACTGGCTAGATAGCTAGATAGCTAGCTAGCTAACTGGCTAGCTAGCTAGACAGCTAGCTAGCTAACTGGCTAGCTAGCTAGACAGCTAGCTAGCTATCTATGTAGCTAGTTAGTTAGCTAGCTAGCTAGCTAGCTATATATGCATAAAAAGGAGATAGTATTAGGTATTATATTATAGACAAAAAAGAGACACTTAATTTATTATCAATAAAAAGGAGACAAATAAATAAATAAATAAATAAATAAATAAATAAATAAATAAATAAATAAATAATTAATAAAAAAGGAGACAGTTAATAAGGAGACAAAAAAGGAGACAAAAAAGGAGACAATAAAAAGGAGAGAAAAAAGGAGAGAAAAAAAGAGAGAAAAAAAGAGAGAAAAAAGGAGACAAAAAAGGAGACAATAACAAGGAGAGAAGAAAGGAGAGAAAAAAAGAGAGAAAAAAGGAGAGAAAAGAGTTAAGGGAATGCAGCAGCAGCAAGAGGATCAGCAAAAAAATAAATTCCCCGCTGCAGTGCATCAGCAAGCAGCAGCACAATATCTTCTGCTGCTGCTGCTCCTCCTGTTAATGCTGCTGCTCCTCCTCCTGCTGCTCCTCCTGCTGCTCCTCCTGCTGCTCCTGCTTCTTGTCTTCTTCTTATCTGCTGCACCTGCAGCAGCAACAACCATAACCTAATACACACAAACACACACACAAACCCTAAACCCTAAACCCTAAACCCTAAACCCTCGTATTATGTAAACCCTAAGAAAAAAATTAATAAATAAATAATAAAAGAAAGAAACAAACATAAAAGGGGACAAAAAAGAGACAAAAAAGGAGACAAAAAAGGAGACAAAAAAGGAGACAATTAATATATTGGGGTGTATCCTCACCTCTTAGAGAAAGGAGACTCACAAACAGCCTGCACAAGTCTTTCTTGCATTAGGCTAGTCTCCTGCTGCAGTCTCTCCTGCTGCTGCTGCTGCTGCTCCTGCTCCTGCTGCTGCTGCTGCTGTGGGGCCCCACACAATCCCTCACAGAGATTCGCTAGGAGTGTACCATCTATAGACGCAGCAACAGCAGCAGCAGCAGCAGCAGCAGGGCTGCCTGCCTCATGGCAAGCAGCAATTTTGCTGCTGTTGCTGCAGTGCAGCAGCAGCAGCAGCGCCTGTAGATATACCCATAGCTGCTGCTCCCGTTGCAGCACTGCTGTACCGCAAGGCATTCCTTCAGCAGCAGCAGCAGCAGCAGCAGCAGCAGGAAGTCGCTGCAGCAACGTAAAAGGAAGAGTTGTGTGTCTAGTTGCCCACTGAGCAAGTCTCTCTAGTCGCCTACAGCAGAAGCAGCAGCAGCAGCAGCAGCAGCAGCAACAGCAGCAACAGCAGCAGCAGAAGCAAAACAACGATTCAACTCGAATACAAACAGACAAACGATTACTTATGCCATGTCTTGCGTTGCTGCTGCTGCTGCTATTGCTGCTGCTACTGCTGCTGCTACTGCTGCTGCTACTGCTGCTGCTGCTGCTACTGTTGCTGCTGCTGCTGCTGCTGCTGCTGCTGCTGACGTACCATTGAGTAACAGGTTTTGCTGCCTTAGCAGCAATTAGCCATTCAGCTAAGAAAGCGCCCTCTAATGTTGCAGCAGATGGCCACCAACAAGGAGGCTTTTTTCTTGCTGCTGCTGCTGCTGCTGCTGCTGCTGCTTCTGCTGCTGCTCCTGCTGCCCCAGCAGCAGCAGCAACAACAGGATACTCAGGTCCTAGCAGCAACTCCTTGTATAGAGAACGCACAGCTCGTTTCCCCCGAACTCCCCGCCGCAGCAGTAGCTGCAGCACACAGCAGCAGCAGCAGCAGCAGCAGCAACAGTAACAGCAACTGCATGCATGCGGAGCCTGTGTAGGGACGAATACACATGTAATACAACGGCAACGACAGCAGCAGCACCAGCAGCAGCAGCAACAGCAGCAAGGGCAACAGCAGCAGCAAGCAAACTGTTGCTGACGTACCTGCGTATACACCGCAAGAAAGAAAGGATTAGAAGGAAAACGTCGCAACATAAAATCTGCTGCCTTTAGCAGTATCTCCCCTTCCTCGCCTGCTGCTGCTGCTGTTGCTGCTGCTGCTGCTGCTGCTGTTGCTGCTGCTGCTGCTGATGCATTGACTCCTCCTGGTCCACCGCTTACAGACAGCAGCAACACCAAGACAAAAGACAGCAGCAATTCCTCGCATCTTGCTGCCTCGCTGCTGCTGCACAAACCCCAACGGGCTAGTGCAGTTGTGCTGCTGCTGCTGCTGTTGCTGCTGCTGTTGCTGCTGTTGCTGCCTGAAGCTGCGGCGGTGCCGGCAGTCTTGCCGTCCAAGGTGCATCCGCAGCAGGTGGCGCAGCACTTGTCTCCGCCAGCTGCTGCTGCTGCAGCACTAGCAGCAGCAGCAGCAGCAGCAGCACGGTGCTGCTCAAAGAAGGTCCAGATAGCAGCAACTGTTGGAGACAATGCTGCATGCAGCAGCAAAGCAAGAAAGAAGTTTGCCCAAGGAGAAGACGTCAGCAGCGGGAAGGCACTAGCATTTGCTGCTGCTGCTGCTGCTGCACCTGCAGCAGCAGCAATCCTTGATCGCTGCAGCAGCACAGCGCAGCAAGCTGCTATCTGCGATCGAGGGAAAGGGTAGGCACCTGTGTCTTCATCTAATTCACCAGAACCAGCAGCAGCAGCAGCAGCAGCAGCATCTTGCTGCTGCTGCTGTTGCTGTTGCTGCTGCTGCTGCTGCTGAGGAACAGCAGGAGAGGAGGGATTAAGAGAAGCAAAAGATCGATTAGCTGAGCACATGGCTACATGCACTGCAGCAGCAGGAACTCCCCATCCCTCAAAAGGCAGTAAAGCTTCCCGCTGCTGCTGCTGTTGCTGCTGCTGCTGCTGTTCCTCTTGCTGCAGCAGCAGCTGCTGCTGAGGAGACACGCTGCTGATGCTGCCCATCCAGGCTGCCCATGACCAACCAAAGGAAAACAGCGGTGGTAAAATACCCAGTTGCTGCTGCTCCTGTTGGTACTCCCTGGGCCCATCTGCTGCTGCTGCTGCTGCTGCTGCAGCAGCATCTGCAGCAGCTGCCTCTGCAGCAGCAGCAGTAGTTAGCTCGAGGAAGGCCCAGGAAGCAGCAAGAGGCGCATGAGCAGCAAAAGCACTGCAGCAAGTCAGCAACACCTTCCTTCCCTGCAGCAGCAACTGCGAGGGATTCTTTTTTGTCCCTGCGTTGCTGCTGCTGCTGCTGCTGCTGCTGTCAGCTGCTGCTGCTTGGAGGAAGAGGGAAGAAGCAAAGGTTAGCCACAAGGCAGGTTCTGCTTCGTTCCTCTTCAGCAGCAGACGGAAGATCCTGCAGCAGCAGCAGCAACAAGAGGTGCAGCAGCAGCAAAAGGTGCAACAGCAGCAAGGGAAAGATTAGCAGCAGCAGCAGCAAAGGAAAGATCTGCAGCAACAGCAGCAGCACTGATAACTAACTTCTTGCTGCTGCAGGCCAAGCACCTCAAGCAGCAAAGGCAAGGAGCATGCAGCGAGCCAGTGCATCAGCAGCAACAGCAGCAGCAACAGCAACAGCAGCAGCAGCAGCAGCAACAGCAGCAACAGCAGCAGCAGCAAAGGGACTTACTTAGAGGAAGGGCAGAGACACAAAGCGCAGTAGAGCAGCAAACGATCATCAGGAAAGACAAGAAGGGCCTAAAAGGAGACACATACAGACACAGCAGACCCATTTGTTGCTGCTGCTGCTGCTGCTGCTGTTGCTGCTGCTGCTGTTGCTGCTGCTGCTGCATAGACGCATGCAGGGCAAAGGAGATATATATACCTGTGAACAAATTATTGCTGCTAAGCTTTGCGGTGTATAGGCATCTCCAAGGAGTACAGATAAAGGAAGCTCTGTTTCCTCCTGCTGCTGCTGCTGCTGTTGCTGCTGCTGCTGCTGTTGCTGCTGCTGCTGCTGTTGCTGCTGCTGCTGCTGGGAGCGCAACACTGCCCACCGCAGACGTCTTTGTGTTAACAGCCAACGAGCAGCAGCACGTGTCTGCTGCTGCAGTAGCGGAGAATCAGCAGCAGGCAGCAAGGAAGGAAGAGGCCAAAAGAAAGAAAAAGGAACTGCACCGTTGCTGCTGCTGCTGCTGTTGCTGCTGTTGCTGCTGCTGCTGCTGTTGCTGCTGCTGCTGCTGTTGCTGTTGCTGTTGCTGCTGTCTAGACCCATGGCTTCTGAACGAACAGCATCCTCCATTTCCTGCTGCTGTTCCTGTTGCTGTTGCTGTTGCTGTTGCTGTTGCTGCTGCTGCTGCTGCAGTAGAAGAACGAATGCCCTCAACTTTGCTGCATCTGCTGCTGCTGCTGCTGCTGCTGTGTCTCCGCGCAGCAAGCGCGGATGACTAGAGGGGAATCTATGCAGAGAAGGAGAACATAAAGAATCAAGAACTCCTATAACTAATCCGTAAGCAGGACCTGCTGCTGCTGCTGCTGCTGCTGCTGCTGCTGCTGTGTCTGTTGCACGCGGTGCTGCTCCTGCTGCTGCTGCTGGTGCTGCTGCAGTTGGAACGGGAGAAGCGCTGCTCATACTCATCTTACTGTTGCTGTTGCTGTTGCTCCTGCTGCTGCTGCTGCTTGGTGTCTTCGTTCTGCTGCAGCAGCAGAAAGGTGCAGCAGCAGCAGCAGCAGCAGATAAGACAGAGTCAACAGCAGACAAGATAGGCAGCAGCTGCTGCCATTGCTGCTGCCGCTGCATGCGGTCACTAGAGACACAATAAGGAGCCGGCAGCTTGAGGTCTGCTGCTGCTGCTGCTGCTGCTGCATCCCTTGCTGCTACAGCTGTCTTTGTTGCTGCTTCTGCTGCTGCTGCAGCAGCAGCAGCAGCACGACGCATCGCCTCCAAGGCAGCAAACGAAGGATCTGCTGCTGCTACTTCTGCTGCTGCACTTGCTGCTGCTGCTGCTTCACCTACCTTTGCTGCATCCGTTGCTGCTGCAATTGCTGCATCTGCTGCTGCCTTGCCAGCAGCAGCAGCTTGTACAGATGCATTTGCTTCTGCTGCTTCTGTTGCTGCTGCTGCTGCTGCTGCAGTAGGACCTCCAGCAGCAGCGCGCCAAGAGAAATGCATAGCAGCAAAGTCTGCAGCACAATAGGCAGCAAACCCATCATCACAACCTCTGCTGCTGCTGCTGTTGCTGCTGCTGCTGCTGCTGCTGTCACGGCTAGCAATTGCTCCGCACTCAACATCGCACTGCAGCAGCAGCTGCTGCTGTTGCTGCTGCAGCGTCATCATGCTGCCTTCAACAGCTTCACATAGCTGCGTATACACTGCAGTAGCAGGCTTGCTGCTTATCGGCTGCTGCTGCTGCTGCAGCTGCTGCTGCTGAGGGCGGAAGCCAATCTCCCCTGCTCGCCTGCAGCAGCTGCTGCTCTCCCCCATCCATATTTGCTGCAGTCAATAACAAGACGCAGCAGCAGCAGCAGCAGCAAATAAGAAGTTGCAGCTGCAGCTGCAGCTGCAGCAGCTAACAAGTAGTAGGCAGGCGCATGCAACAATAACCAAACGAGCAACAGCTACACAGGAGCAGCAGGAGGCAGCAGCAGCAGCAGCAGCAGCAGCAGCAAACAAGGCAGCAGCAGTCTAACAAACAGGGAGCAGTCGTTAGCTAGTACCTACCTTTAACTTATCCAGGAGGGACGGCTGTTGCTGCTGTTGCTGCTGCTGCTGCTGCTCTGCATGCAGCAGCGCCAAGTGTACGACAGCCTGTGCTGCAGCAGCAGCAGCAGCAACACGACCTCCTCTTACTTCTATAGGCAGCACAAGACCAAAGAGGACCTCATGCAGCATTGTTATACATGTCTTATAGTTTGCTGCTGTTGCTGTTGCTGCTGCTGCTGCTGCTGCTGTTCCTGCTGCTGCTGCTGCTGGAGGTGTGATAGTTTCTGCTGCTGCATGCAGCAAATCACCTAGCAGCAAACGCATGCATTTCTCTGAGTATTGTGGGGAAGCAGCAGCAGCGCTGTACAGACACCGCGCGAGTGTCACTGCAGTCTCCGTGCTGCTGTCGCTGCTGCTGCTGCTGCTGCTGCTGCTGCTGCTGGGATTAAGGGAAGCAGCAATCTTCCCTACTAATGCTGCTGTGTTGCGCCATGATGGTGCTGCTAAGGGAGACCCTGTTTGCTGCAGCAGCAGCAGCCGTCTTAATACAACAAGAGATGGCGGTGCTGCTGCTGCTGCTGCTGCTGTATCTGTTGCTGCAGCAGCAGCAGCTGCAGCAGCAGCAGCAGCAGCAGCATTTGTATGATGACCGCATGCTAAGTCCAGAGCGTCCTGCTGCCGCAGCAGCACCTGCTCAGCTGTAACCTCGGACAGCAGCAACTGCTGCTGCTGCTGCAGCAGCTGCTGCTGCAGCGCAACAAGCAGCACCCATACCTTTATATTATAAGGATTTTGTCTGCACAGCAGCAGCAGCTGATCTTGCTGCTGCAGCAGCAGCAGCTCCTCTTCTTGCTGCTGCAGCTCCCTTTTTGATTCTCTTCCTGCTGTTGCTGCTCCTCCTGCTGCTGCTGCGCCGTCCTCCTCCCCTTCGCTACTACTACTACTACTGCTGCTGCTGCTGCTGCTGTTTGCTGCTGCTCCTGCAGCAGCAGCAGCAGCATCGAACAGCAGCGGCTTCCCTAGTCCATCTATATCTACAGTAAATTTGTGCTGCAGTTGTGTAGGGCCCCCTCCTGTTGCAGCAGCAATAGCAGCAGCAGATTCTGCTGCTGCTGCTGCTGCTCTCTCCTTCCTCCTTGACCTCCTCCTCTCTATAGGAAATGCTGTTGCAGTACCATACTCGGCTGCTGCAGCGCTGCTGCTGCTGCTGCTGGTGCTGGTTGCTGCTGCTTGCTGCTGCTGCTGCTGCTGCATGCCCTTAATACCTTTTCCTCTTCTGTGTCTATACTTAGGGTGCAGCAGCAAACCCTCAGCAGCAGTTGCTGCTGTTTGCATGCGTTTTAATGACCATATTGTTTGCTGCTGCTGCGCTCCTTCTTCTAGCTGCCTAACAACCTCAGGAGACACAGCAGCAGCAGCAGCAGCAGCAAAAGGCCAACTGCTGCTGCTGCTGCTGGTAGTGATGCTGCTGCTGCTGCTACTGCTGCTGCTACTGCTGCTGCTGCTGCTGCTGCTCGCTGAGGGAGGGTCTACGATAATAACACTGTCATCTGAGCTGTTGCTGCTCTTGCTGCTGCTGCTGCGGCGGCGGCGGTGACGGCGGCGGCTGTGCCCCTTGTGTGCTGCTGCTGCCCTTAGCTGCTGCTGCTCTTGCTGCTGCTGCTGCTGCTGCTGCTGCAGCTTGTATTGGCGACGGTGTTCCCTCTCATCTCTTTCTAGATCTATTTCTCCTGCAACAAGTGCTGCTTCTCTTAATTTAATTTCTTCTTTTGCTGCTGCTTCTGCTTCTAGCTGCTGCAGCAGCAGCGGCTTCTGCTGCTGTTGCTGCTGCTGCTGCTGCTGCAGCAGCAACTGACGCTGAGGCAGCAAATCCATAGATAGGCCTAGCCGCTGCAGCACCTCCTCAGGGTTATAAGAAGTAGCACAAGATAGACCTGATAGATCAGGCTTGCTGCCTTGTTGCAGTAGCTGCTGCTGCTGCTGCTGCTGCAGCTGCTGCAGCTGCTGCTGCAGACCCTCATCCTCTACATACTCAGGGAAGAGGGGACCCTTCTTCTGCTGCTTCATTGTTGCTGCGGTGTATAGGCAGCAGCAGCAGCAAATCTGCTGCCCTGTCTTCTATAACAATCACGTAGAATGCTAGAACCTGCTCCTGTTGCTGCTGCTGCTTCTGCTGTTGCTGCTGCTGCTGCTGGTGTTGCAGCAGTGCTGCTGTTGCTGCTACAGAGAACGGAGCCCAACTCTAATACAACTACTGCTGTTGCCGGTGCTAGTTGTGTATTAAGCAGAAGCTGCAACAGCAGCAGCAGCAGCAGCAGCGGCTGCTGCTGCTGCTGCCGAACTATGTGCACATAGACCTAGCACGAATGGCAATGGGCTGTCGTTGCATCTGCTGCTGCTGTTGCTGCTGTTGCTGCTGCTGCTGCTACTGTTGTTGTTGCTGCTGCTGCTGCTGTGATAGAATATAGAGGAGCTCTTGCAACAAAAGGAGCAGCAGCAGCAGCCGCAGTAACGGCAGCAGCAGCAGCAGCAGAAATAGCAGGGGGCCCCTCCTACCTTGCCTGCCTTCTTCTCACTGAAATATTTAATTAATAAATAAATAATAAAATAATAAATAAATAATTAGTTTTTTTTATTAAGAATAACAGGGAAAAATAGGCAAGGGAGGAAGGGGGCCCCCTCAATCGTTACCAGTACCCTTTCTGCGGTGTATATGCAGCTGGGGGCCCCCCCCCTCTTTTCCCCTTTTCCTTCTTTTTGTTGCTTTGTAGGCAATTAATGTTCATTTTTTTTTATTTTTTTATTATTATAATAATATTATTTAATTTAATTTATATTATTTATTATTTATTTATATAAATTTATTTATTTATTTATTTATTTATTTATTTCTTCCTTCTCCCTCCCCCCTTCTTATAAGGAGGACAAAATACATTTTATAAGAAATTATTTATTTATTTTATTATTTATTCCTCTCCCCTCCCTTTTATGTTTATTTATATATATTATATATATATTATATTATACATTATATATATAATATATATAATTATGTATAATATATATAATATATATTATTTATATTATTTATATTATTTATTATTATATATAAAAAAACAGAGAAAAAAAAAAAAAAAGTTTTTTTTTTTT